TATCTTGTTTGTTGGTTGCTTTTTGTTTTGTATTACTCCCTCCCTTGGGTTTGTTAGCCGCCCTGAGTCCCTCCGGGAAAACATTCCGTTTTGAATGTTTTTTAAGTATATTGCCAAAAGGAACACAAAGTCCAAAATGAATTTAGGAAAATTAGAGGTGAAGAACCACATCAGCAGCTCATGACATTGTGCAGGCATCTGAAATCTTAAGCTGCAATCTTTAGCGAGTGTTTCTCAACTGTGGCACTTGAAGATACATGGACTTCAGCTCCCAGAATTCCCTGGCCACTATGCTGGCAAGGAAATTCTGGGACTTGAAGTTCATCATTCAAGTTGCCAAGGTTGAGAAACACTGCTTTAAAGCTATTTACCTGGTATTTGGAATCTGAACTATGAACTCTGCAAAATACACATATGAACAGGGCATGCAGAAATGAATGTTGTGCTCATTCAGAGAACAGATGCATTCAGATCTTGTGCAGTATGTGTGTTGTGGGGGAGGAGGTACATGACTTTTTCTTGCATTAAGATCCAATAACACAAGCAATGGAATGTTTCTGCCAGTCAAATGTCATCAGTAAAATAGATGAGAAAACTTTCAGCAAGTATGGAATGTACATTTATAAAGAAGAGGTCTTAGGTCTTTAAACAATTAGGGCATTTCTTCATAGTGCAATATTTGTAAAGTATTTTGTATCTTTGTATCTTCTCAATTTCTCAGATAGATACTTGGCAGTGCTTAGCTAACTTTGGCGTGTCTTCACAAGCTGAGCAAGATCACACATAGATAGTACCTAGATTAGATACCTTCAGAATATCCCAGGGTTATAAAATATATGGGACAGGGATCAAAACAACCTCAGAAGGCTATGGCAAACTGCTTCCATGATTGCTGCCAGGACATTCCCCTGAAGTCAAACTTGAAATAAACTTTGCTTTGGACATGGTGCAATAGATGAAACATGCCAGGGCTGCATTTAAAATGGGTTTGTCAAAAACAATCATGCCAAACAAATTTATTGCATTCTTTGACAATGTGACAAAATTAGTGGAGCAATGAAATATAATTTACTTGGACTTCAGTAAATTTGATAAAGTAGTCTACAACCTACAACTTGATAAGACAGAAAAATGTGGGTTAGACAGCATCACCACCAGATGTATTCGTAACTGGCTGACCAACCACACTTATTGTGTATTCCTCAATGGAACTGTATCTTTGTGGAAGGGAAGGATGCAAGGCTCTGACTTAGGCCCAGTACTCATCAATATTTTCATCAATGATTTAGACGAGGGGATAGATGTGGAACTCACCAAATTTGCAGACAATATTAAATTGGCAGGCATAGCCAACACTCCAGGTATGCAGAAGATATGTAGGCTCAAGATATGCGGAGGGACCTTGACAGATTTAAATAGGGGGCCCTATCTAACAAAATGAAATTCAATGGTGAGAAAAGTAAGATTCTACATTTAGGCAAGAGAAACCAAAAGCACAGATATAGAATAGGTTGTACCTGGCTCAACAGTATGTAGTAACTACCAGGGACCTTGGAGTCCTGATGGATAATCACTTAAATATGAGCCAGCAGAGTGTTGCAGCTGTCAAAAAACCAGCACAGTCCTATTTCCTGGAAGTTAGAAAATTCCTGACAGTGAAAACAATCAATGGCATGGCTTTTGCCTCCAGAAATCATGGGTGCTCCAACACTGGAGGTTTTAAAGAAGAAATTGGACAATTGATCTAAACTGGTATAGGGTTTTCTGGTTGAGCAGGGGGTTGGACTAGAAGATCTCCAAAGTCCCTTCCAACTGTGTTATTCAGTTAAATATCCTTCTGATGATCCTTTCTATTTCCAATAGCACTTGAGATCAATATTAGATGTGGAAGAAAAACCTATTTTTCTGCAATTATTCTGGACAGTCGCTATTTACTCCAAAATGTCAGTGCTCATCAAAAGAGATCCAAAATCTGTGGGAGAAAAAGAGTCCCATTTTTTTTTACTCTATAGGCAAATGGCTGGCAAGTTCCAAGTATGTTTTAGGCTCACTGCACCATTCAGCTAATTTATGGGAAATATTCTGAGTTTTCAGAAGCAAAATGAATTAGCTGAGGCAATATGGTTGACACTGGGTGTAGATCTGTTGTCTGTAAAAGGTTTTGTGTTATTATCCTTTATTACACTACTTTCTGTTATTATGTTGCAAGGATTTGATGGTTGACTGTCTTTAATTTAAAAGAAAGGACATATGAATCATTCTCTCAAAATACAAGTTACAAAGGCAGCAACTTGGTTTCTTCGGAGAAAGAAGGCCATCTTAGACTATAGTATTTCTTTGGCCTTGAAGAAATGGATCGATGTGTATCTGTTGCCCCCTTGTGGTTAACATGCAATTTGTAATTTTCTCTCTTTCTAAACACCAGAGGAAACATCTACAAAAGTTGCCATGAAAGGCTGCACTACCCATGCTGTCTGTGATGCTACCATTGGAGGTGCGGCAACATTTAGCCAGGCCACTTCAGCAATCACCAGCCTTGAATGCATGCCAGCCAGTAGCACTGCCAGCAGGTCTCCTGGACCAACAGGACTCTTCTTTTTAGTCATGATGGGCTTCCTGAGGCTTCAGCTCGGATCCTAACGAGCCAACTGTGTTTGAGCAAACGATGCAGATGCTAAACCAAAGACATTAACCTTTGGGTCTCTGGTATCACTGATGGAAAAATTCTGGAAGAGCTGAGCATTAGCTATTTGATGCAGTAAGGCCTAATCCATTATCATGCTGATTGTTTACAGCTTGTAGCATCTATTAAGGAAAGTGGTTCTTTAACCGCCAGTTCTGATTTGAATTGATTATTATCATGGTCATAGCAGTTGCTGTAATACTGATTTATTGATGTGTTAGTCAAAGACTGAACTCATTGTTCATCTCTTAGGGTCATATTTGATGTAGCATTTTTAGCCTTCTCATTCAATTTGATGGGAATTAAAAGGGCATGCGGGGAAAAAAAATGATGGGCTGTTTTTTTCAGGCAAGGTTGAAAAATTGGAATCCTTGATCTTAATTCTCAAGCAGTTGAGAGACTCCCATTCTGCACTGTAAAATAATCTCCCAAGCAGTATGCAGCTTCCTAAGCCCTCAATAAAATCCCAAGGGAAAATGTAATACAACAAGGGAAGCCTCCAGAGCCTTTCCCGGCTCCAGAGAAAGCAGGCAGGGCACTTAAAGGAATGTCATCTTGCAGTGATAAATGCTTGAAGATTCTTCTACTGTACGATCCTTTCCCCACTGACC